GCAGCCGGTCACCGTTCACATTCGCTGAACCAATGCCATGCGCACCGATAACATCTGTGCACAACGATGCATCAAGCCCAGTGCGCGCGTTGAAATCACCCAGCAGAAATAGTCGGTCGCTCCTCGGCACAAACCGTATCACGGAGGATAGCTGAGTGTAGAATCGATCACGCGTGTCATCAGGATAACATATGGTCGGACCGCACGTGCTTATATAAGTGGCAAACTTACCTTTCCCGAAGAGCCATCAGTCGCATGCTGATGCCTGTTGGTTCACCCACCAACTGGCCATGGAGGCGATCGGATATTGCAAATCCGATCCCATATATATATATATATATATATATATATATATATATATATATATCATTAGCCTCCCATCCAACCACGATCTCATTATTTTATCCTTATATAATTTTGCATAGTAATTTTTTGGTGCACAGCAGCCGGCTAGTAGCTTGCCGGAACGATGCCCATCCGTTACCGTGAGCTCAGCCAGCTTGCACCAGTTGCTTTTTCTCTCTCCTTTTTTCTGTGTATTGCGGCACAGTAGCTGAGGTGTTCCCCACCTCTAGCTAACGTGTAGTATGATGGTAGTATGACTATGGCCTAGCGCTTATATAGCTGATGGGTGCGACCAAAGAATGGCTTTGTCATCCGCATACTGGAGGCTTGTCATGTGGCAGAATTTTCACGCCGTAATGGTACTAGAGGACAAAGTCCTTTATGATCATTTCGGTCACAATTTGAAAGGGAAAACATGTTGAACAATTCTGGCAAACCCTACATGCATTGAGGTTTTCCGGATACAACTTCCGATAAACCGTTACCAGATCTTATGAGTTGCGGTGAGCCTTGGAATAGAAATGTTTCCATGCAATGCCGTTGCTGTTATTGACCTTCGGTTGCCCTGATCTTGTAACAGTCGCAGACTTGTCTATGTCTGGTACGCTTGCTGCCTAGATGAGTACTGCTGATGTGCATGTTGAAGAAGTTTGGGCGGGCTCCGTTGATGAAACTTTGCTCACTTCCACATGCCTCCCGGTCTTATTCTTTGGTTTTACACTGAATATGGGGTATGTGGATGTAGCCGTTGGTGGTGCAGCGCAAGCCACCCATGATCCCTGTAGGCGCAGGCGTCCTGTGAAGGCACAGTTAGAAGTATATATATATATATATATATATATATATATATATATATATATATATATATATATATATATATATATATATAGATATATATATAACTGTGCCTTCACAGGACGCCTGCGCCTACAGGGATCATGGGTGGCTTGCGCTGCACCACCAACGGCTACATCCACATACCCCATATTCAGTGTAAAACCAAAGAATAAGACCGGGAGGCATGTGGAAGTGAGCAAAGTTTCATCAACGGAGCCCGCCCAAACTTCTTCAACATGCACATCAGCAGTATTCATCTAGGCAGCAAGCGTACCAGACATAGACAAGTCTGCGACTGTTACAAGATCAGGGCAACCGAAGGTCAATAACAGCAACGGCATTGCATGGAAACATTTCTATTCCAAGGCTCACCGCAACTCATAAGATCTGGTAACGGTTTATCGGAAGTTGTATCCGGAAAACCTCAATGCATGTAGGGTTTGCCAGAATTGTTCAACATGTTTTCCCTTTCAAATTGTGACCGAAATGATCATAAAGGACTTTGTCCTCTAGTACCATTACGGCGTGAAAATTCTGCCACATGACAAGCCTCCAGTATGCGGATGACAAAGCCATTCTTTGGTCGCACCCATCAGCTATATAAGCGCTAGGCCATAGTCATACTACCATCATACTACACGTTAGCTAGAGGTGGGGAACACCTCAGCTACTGTGCCGCAATACACAGAAAAAAGGAGAGAGAAAAAGCAACTGGTGCAAGCTGGCTGAGCTCACAGTAACGGATGGGCATCGTTCCGGCAAGCTACTAGCCGGCTGCTGTGCACCAAAAAATTACTATGCAAAATTATATAAGGATAAAATAATGAGATCGTGGTTGGAGGGGAGGCTAATAAGGATGGGGTGGGACAAAGAAACTCACAGCACGAACGCCACTGAGGTCGGAATCTAGCCATGTCAGCAAGTGTGTCCAACCAAACGTGTTCATCATCTTTCGGACCCCCAACCAGGGAGTCGAGACGCTCCAACCGAGGCCGGCTCAGAAGTGAGGGCCTTCATTCCTCTCGACCAAGTCATCGCTTGGCCACCCCTCCTCTTCTTCCATCCACACCCCCGGTGCGCAAACAACACACGTCGCGGGAGTCCGTGGACTGGCATGTGTAACACGTGGCCCTGCCATCGGAGCCTGATGCGTGAAATAACGGTGCTGAGGGGTTCAGTTCCTTTTCCTGTACCGTAAACGAGGGGTCGAACATGCTCGTTGCTCACGCGGTATTCCCACCAGATGTGAGCGTTAGGTCATAGGCTAACGCGTAGTGCATACAAAACGCTGTTGTAGGACTGAGCAGGCTGTATAGCAGATTTTGCCGTTAATGAACAGCTCCAGGAAGGCATCGATCGATGCATTTACCTTTGGTAGTTGTGCCGTCCTCTAGTGGGCACATAACTGAAGGGGGTGCTTCACGTACCAGCAAGGCGCGTGTGGCATCTAATTGCGATGAACCTTACCGAATCATACCCAAATCTGTCAACTCATTAGTAATCAAAATCCAAGCCCTACCAGTATTCAAAAGTGCTGTGTGGATTCACGGCGCTGACCGTGACGGCCAACCACTGTCCTCTGCACGGGCAATAACATGCAAGGCAGTGGAGGATGGATCGGGCTATATTGCAGTTAGGTTTCAATTCGCAATGGTCGGCTGTCGTCTCCCATGGCTCAGTGGCATAAGTTGCTGGCTAGTTGGCGTTAGCTTCTAGTGGTCATGGGTTCGATCTCGAGTAGGGGACCGAAGGATGCGCACCAATGACGAGCCCCAATAGGGCGAAACGCGCGTCTGGCGCTTTTCCGGATTGGTAGCTTACCTATGCGGTTTGGAATCTAATTGCGATGAACAAAACAGAATCATTTATGGAAACGGTCGGATATCAGCCTATCAGCGAAAGGTGTAGGGTGTATAACACCGCGTTAAAACTGGTCGTTACTTCTCGCTGAAGAAATTAAAAGAGTGATCGTTTTTGATCTTCCGGTGCGTGTGAAGTACTGCTCACAAACGATGGCATCACCAAGTGAGCAACGCAGAGATCAGCCAGTGGATATTTGAAAAGGAACCCCTTAGCGCGCCGGCAGGGAACTTACTAAGCTTGAATCATTTATGTTAGTTAGGTTGTGTCATCAGATGCCTGCTGATCGTCTTCCGCAGTATGCACATGTCGCTGTGCATAGCTGGGTGAAATCCCCAGGGTGGTATAAAGGCATGAAGAAGGTAACCGAGTTTGGTCACGCGAATGCGTATCGTTTTTGTGAATGGGGAACATAGGAATAGTACACATCAGGGGTTGGAAAACTTGTCTGACATGGTAGGAGTCGCGGACTGGATAGAGCTGTTGCATTCGATTTCCTGCATCCAATAATAAACATTCCAATCCGACAGGGACCTTCTAACCGCTGTCCCAAGTGCTGGTCATTGAGTCCAATGGCGGGTTCCACTCCCACTTCAAGCTATCTCCACCTGAAAAGCCCAAACAAGGACGAAACCCGGAGCTCTTCGATCGATTTTCGTTGTTCGTGACACTACCCCGCAACTTCCACTGGCTTCTGCCTCGATCCCCCCAAGGTTGCTAACTGTTTTTAGTCTAGAGACGCGAGTGGTGACAATGGAATTCACAATTTGTCTATGTACGACTGGTGGATTGGACTGAAGTGTCATATGGAGCAGATTGAATGGCACTCTAAACAATCAACCTGCATCCTACTGAAGATGACGTCCCTTCGCCTAGGTTCCAAATGGAATAAGTCCGAAACATTCATTAGCCGGTATGACCCCATGCGTCATGCCGAAAAAATAACGAACAAGCTGTCTTATTCTACGTTGCCCGTCCACAGACTTAAGGATCAGAAATCTGCCTTGTAATCCTGAAATCGCGGGTACGAGCCTGCGTTGGGACACGGGCAACCCTCGTAATATTTTTGGTCCACGAGCGACTGTTGCTGGTTGCGCGGCAACGTAGCGTCGGTACTGCATACCGACGTACTGCTGATGTCTTACTCTATGCCATTCTCTGCAAATTGATTCCAAAGCTCAATTCAAGTGCGGCACCATAGTGCAAACATATGTAATTTGGCCCCGATGGTTTGGTCTGGATATCGGGAGCCGTGGCTGTTGTCAGTATCTGTTACGAATAAGAACTTTGTGACCACGAACTCTTGAATGCCAGTGATACGACTATGTAGAAGTACAGGAAGTGGGTAAAAACGGCATCACATTACAGCGTCATGAGAAAAAAAAGAAGGCGCACCACTGAGGAGACCCGGAAAATCGAAACACCGCTGTCTGGTGCTTTTCCAGAAGCGTCAAAGCCTGCTGACTGAGAATGACGGTCATGAATTATCTTTGAAGTATACAAAAATCCCCACAACTCGTTAGTAATATAAAAAGCTGCCCGTACAGCTTCTAAGTCTTGTGTCGTACACAAGTGCTTTGCGGAAAGTCCTAGCTAGTGGAGTTAACTGTTGTCCTCTGCACAGTGCGTAACTGGCATGGCAATGGAAGATGAGCCGGGCCATATCATAGTCCACTGCCAACAATGCACGTCTGAGGTTGCCACTCATGGGTTAGTGGTACTAGCTGCTGGCATCCGGAAGTCATGAGATCGGAACCCGGCAGGAGTCCGATGGAAGGCGCACCACTGATGAGACCCAGAATGTCAAAACACCGCTGTCTGGTGCTTTACCAGAAGTGTCAAAGCCTACTGACTGAGAGTGGACCGTGATGAATTACCTCTGAAATACAAAAATGCCTATGTGGAGTACGCGAGCAATATACAAAGTCATGCCAATAAGGGGAAAGAGAAAAACTCACAAGCTATCCATATTATCCAAGTCACTCAGGAATTCCCCATTGCTCCATTGGTTGATGTCATCATGCGCCAACAGTAAGTGGCTCAGCAGGACAGGAGCAGTGGGCTCAGTTGCCTTTTCATTCGATGTCAATCCACCGAAAACGAGAGCTGTGTCGATCCCATCACGCAATACGGGCAACGGGTGGTAAAATGGTCCGTTACGAAAGGCCAACTCGAATATTGCTTTGGTTTTGAACTGTAAAATAAGGAGGCGGAAAGCGCATCGTCAGTCGGTGTATCCAATATGAAAAATAATGGTGAAGAGTGTTGAAAACAAATATTGCAGCACAAAGTGAAGTCTGAAGCGCAGCCACGTGCAAATCAAGGACCTAGTCAGTCCATCCTGTGCATCCAGGAGCGTTAAATATCGCTGACATCCTTACCGGTGGATATGCTTGGAGTACTGCTCGTGACGTAGAGTACTTCTATAGCCTTTGAGTTGTTCTCCGCTGTCTATGCTCATATCGCGACTTCTCTGTGCAACCCTTGCGTACGCTTGAGCGCACAACATCCGTGGAAATTGTACTCATGACGGGTTAAGAAGTGTGTATATGTCTCTGATACTGGTTAGTTGGCTGCGATCTCTCTTCAAATAATCTACAGATACATGTTGGTAGGAAGTGCTGCCGAATACCAGGGTTGTTAGTTCAATCGGACTGTGACCCAAACGAGTGGAAGCCGGTTAACCTTCGAACACTGCTGATCCCAATACATAAGTCGACTCAGAAGGTATTCTTATGCATGGTTGGGCAATCTCCAGGCTACTTTCACAAACCCAAGCGCTAGTCATCTCTTGAACAGAAGCAAATACTGTTGCATAATGGTTTTGATTCCAGCCAACTCTAGTTCAATCCGCCTCCGCTACGGAAATCTCAGCGGATGGTGCAAACAGCGTTTTGATGTTATTATGTGACACCAGCGCCTGGGATGCAAGTACGCGTGGGATGCATGATCGGGAGTGTCTCTAGAGGTGGTCGACACTAGGTACCCGGAGAATCTCCATCAATGTTTGCTGTGCAAGCTAAACAACTTTAAAATGAGCAGCCACGGTTGTTCACAGTTCCAGTCTAGCAACCGAAGTGCGTAACGCGTAGAATGCGCACATCGGAAGACTCCAGGTAGGCCTGATCCTATGAGAGCCATATCATCCACGTGAACCTGGTTGATTGCCATATATTCAAACCGAGACTTGATAAGTAGGAGACCTAACGTCAAATGTGCAAGTAACTCGTGTGACAGCAACAAGTCAACAAAGTCAGTCAGTGGAAATAACGGGCACGACATATTGTCAAATCTTTCAGTGGCGATTACAGTGCCTCCACTGAGAATAAACCAAAACAAGGTTAAGAGGAATTGAGAAAAATAAAGCGCGATATACTTAGATAGTATAAGTGAGAGGATAAAACAAAGCATATTGTTGAAGCGAAATCCGGTTCAAATACATGTTGGTTATAAGAGAGTACAAAAAAGTTGCATACGAGTGTGCGCCCAGCATACACAAAGTGACAGAAAAATGTGGTGCGACATGTGCCATCGAAACTGAGCAACACTGATCCAAAGATACCACATGTGCAATTACAATATACAGACAGAATTACCAGAGAATTGTACAGTTTGTCTGAACTGTCAGAGGGATCTTCCGAAGCCGGAGGGAAGACACTTGCTTCAGGGCATCGTAAATCGTCCAAGTAACTACGGATGAAAGGTTTGCAGGTTGCTAGAGGAATAAGCCGATTTATTTCATATTTTGGATCAGGTTTCGTTGGGACCAGGTGAGGGTCGAACAATCGACGTTTCACTCCATCTTTCAAACCACTCAAACCGGGTCCACCTCGCCGGCGACCACGGTTCATGCTAAAACGGAGCCATGATTAAAAAGTTTTGGGAGATAAAATTCCTAATGAAATACGATCAAATGTGCCCATGATGCTTCATTATCCGGTATTATCAATCGAATGTGGCAGTAAGTTAAGTTGCCATGAACCGCACTAGTACAATAATAATAACAATAATAGTAATGATAATAATAGCAATAATAATAAAGTAGATTAACAGAAAAAGAACACAAGCGCAAATGATACGATACAGATGAAAATGTTGTCAGGTTGAAACAGCGAGCAAGTGCAGGAGAGTTATTAATTTCGCAACCCCACCATCTGCAAAGTGCCTCCAGAAATTGATGTGGTCGACCATAAGACCAAATAGTAGGTAAAAGCTTTACGTCATATAGTCATGTTGTCCGGTTAACACTGAGTTCACCCATCCAAGTACAGATTCAGTAAACAATCACTAGAGATAGCAGTAGTACATGCCAGTGGCGCGTGCATATGCCTTGCAAACACGCAACCGCAAATGGTTGCACACAGGCTGGGACACTGAAGGAGCGCTTAAACAATGCAAGAGGCGAGGAAGAAAAGATTTCAAGTCGCCACCTTGTCCGGGTGAAAGTAAGAGCTGCCTGGAAAATACACTGTTTGACCGATTAATAGATTAGTAACGATCGTCGCATCAATTTCGAACGTTCTGGAATGTCCTAAGTTCTGCACGTGCCTACAAACCACCTGACTTCTCGGCCAAAGCTATGGGGAACCACTAACCTTGGTAGTTGACCCTCCAATTCCAGAAGTCGAACGTCAGTAAGAGATCTATAAATACAGCCAAAGTCCGCGGTAGTTGTACAGTGTTTGTTGACCGCGGTTAATATGTTATTTTATCAAGGTTATTGGTGTCCTGCTTTTCCTTCGGTTGGGCTAGAAGTTTTGTGGAGCGGTAAAGTGCCAATTTCAAAATCGCGTCTAGTGAGAAGAGTATAACAAATAGTGACGGAGAAAATTGGAAATGTGATGAACTTTTCTGCTGAACAATTCAAAAGCTGCTTTTCCAACAACAATCTCAAATGGAGACACAAATGAAAATGATCGAAAATCTGACACAATCCTTGAGTTTGCAGACAACAGGAGCAGCGACGCGGGAGATGCAGGCGAGTTCTGTTGATCTCACGAATGCAAGCACTGATTTCAATTATGACGTGGATGTTGGATGCACATTCGAAGCGTGATTCAAGCGCTGGGAAGACATATTCCGGGCGGACTTCATTCGTCAAGAGACGACTCCTGGAAGGTGTGATTGCTACTCCGCAAGCTCGGAATAAGTGAACATTCAAGATTCATAGACCACATTCTGCTCAAACAACCGAAGGATTTGACGTTTGACGAAGTAGTGTCGTAACTGAAGGGAATTTTTGGTGAGTCAGTATCCTCGTTTAGTATTTGCTATCAATGCCTGAAAATCGTCAAGAGGGAATCGGACGACTTTGGGGCCCTAGCAGACATGATTAAACGTGAGTGTGGACGTTTCAAACTACGCACTTTAACGGACGATCAGTTTAAGTGTCGCATTTTTGTCAGCCCTCTACCATCCCCCAATGATGCTGAGATCCGCACGCAGCTTTTAGCTAAGCTGGATCAGAATCCTAATCTGACACTGAAGGCCTTCGTAAGCGAATGTAAACGGCCGTTTACTCTAAAACACGACACTGCCTTGGTCGAACGGAATGGTCTCGCACCACCAGATACCATGCACTTCGTGAAAAAGCTAGGACTGTCAACCCAAGCAAACCCTTCAAGGAATCTACAAACAAACCGCATGCTCGTCATGCGGCGAATGGCATTTCGCGCTCTTTTGTTTGTTCAAAGGACATATTTGTCAAATATGTCATAAGCGTGGGCATAAGGAGGATTTCTGAAATCAGGTTCGGCCGAAGAACGTGAAGAAGTCTTAATGAAAGGGGAATTCTAGGAAGGATTGCGCAGTCTCTGTCCATAGTTGCCGCATTTGAAAGTGAGTGTAAACCGAGATGACGATTTACTAGGATGTTGGTCAATGGGATCCCAACGAAACTGCAATTTGACACGGCCTCGGACATCACCATTAATTCCAGAAACAGACGGAATCACATAAAGAGGCCAAAGATGGTCGAGTCTCAGAAAACTGCACATAATGCATCCGGCGGTGCGTTAAACTTAGTGGGCGAACTTACTTGCAAAATTGCTCACAAAGTGGTGGATGAGTCGGAAAAGTGCTACATTTCAGACCGGCTGAATATGAATCTTCTTGGCCTCGACTGCATTGAAAACTTGCAACTCGTCGAGGTTCCCTTGAATCAGATCTGCAACCGAGTTCGAGTAAGTCCAGACACATTATTAAAGTCCATCGAAGACACGACACGTTTGCTGAAGCGAACATTTACCTCTGTCTTTCAGGATGGCTTGGCTCATTCTATGGAATTCAATGCAAAGCTGTGCTTGCGCCCAAGTGCTAAACCAGTGTTCAAGACTAAAAGGCCGGTACCATATGCAGCCATGTCAACCATTGATCAGGAACACGACCGACTGGAACGTGCCGGAATCCCCACAGCCGTCAACTATTCATCATGGGCCATACCTAACGTCGCAATGAAAAAAGCCAATCGCAAGGTATGCGTTTGCTCTGACTTCTCAACTGGCCTCAACACCGCGCTGGACGACCACCAGTACCCATTTACCTATATCGGAAAATATCTTTGCAAAACTGAATGGTGGTAAGTGCTTTGCTAAGCTTGATCTGTCCGATACCTACCTTCAAGTGGATGTTGACGAAGTCTCGAGGGAGTTGTTGACGATCAACAACTCATCGTAAGCTATTCCAAAACAACCACTTGCTCTTTGGTGTAAAAAGGCGCCAGCCAATTTCCAACAGTTGATGGACACCATGCTAGCGGGCGTTTGTGGAGCCGATGCATATCTGGATGATACCATAGTCGAAAACCGGAAGAGCTATTTAACCGGCAGGATAAAGTGCATGGTTGTGTACAGTCGTACGGTTTCCGGATCCGTGAGGATAAATGCACATTTTTCATGCCGATCATCAAATACCTCGGTTTTACCCTTGAAAAGGATTGACGTCGACCAGGTCTGGAAAACGGAGAAGCCATTAGAAAAGTGCCTCCACCAACAGATCTACAGTCCTTGCGTTCCTTTTGTGGGCTCATCAGACATTATAGCGCATTCTTACCTGATGCACCGCTTGCGTGCCCCACTAAACAAGCTACTAGTCAAAGGCCAAACTTGGAACTGGACATCAAAATGCCAGAATGCCCTCGAACGGGTCAATACATTGCTGTCCTTAAAGTTGCTTTTGACTCATTTTGATCCCTCCAAAGAGACTGTCTTAACCACAGATGCATCAAGCCATGGGATTGGCGCAGTAATTGCACACACGTACACCAATGGATCTCAGAAAGCAATCGCCCATGCCGCCAGAATACTTACGAAGGCCGAGAAATTACTGTCAGATCGAGAAAGAAGCACTGGTCAAGGTGTTCGCGGTCAAGAAAAACCACAAAATGCCGTACGACCGCCGCTTCAAGCTTCTGAAAGATCACAAGCCCTTGCTGGCTACCTTTGGTTCGAAAAAGGACATCCCGGCCTACACAGCCAACCGGCTAAAAAGTTGGGCTCTTACCTTAATGAGGTATGATTTCGAGATCCACTACCAGTTGACAATTTCCATTGGCCAAGCGGATACACTGTCATGTCTAATTGATGGCCACCAGTAAGAACATGAGGACACAATCATTGCCTCGGTGGAGATCGAACCTGACATCAACCATCTGGTAAGTGATGCATTGCACGGCCTATCAGTTGCTGCAGAAGCTGTACGAACCGAAACGCTTGGGCACCCAGTACTCAAGAAAGTTACACAGTTGCACAAAACAAGTTGGGCACTTTCATGTCCATCTGAGGAGTTGCAACAGTAATTCCAGAGGAGACACTCGCTCTTTATCGTGAACGACTGTATACTATTTTCGGAGAGTGGTCATCCCCAAGGCAATTCAGGAGTGCCTTATTCAGCAGTTCCACACCAGGCATCCTGTGATCAACCGGATGAAGGTGCTTGCCCGCAGTTGTGTTTACTGACCCTTCATAGACAAACAGCTAGAAGAAATAGCTAGACGTTACCAAAAGTGCGCCAAGGTCTTGAAAGCGCCACAAAAAGTAGACCTTTATTCATGGCCAAAAGCTACTAAACCATGGTGCCGCATCCATGTCGACTTTGCAGGACCGATCAACCGCCGAAGTTTCCTCATTATAGTCGACGCATACAGCAAGTGACTTGAAGTATTTCTCATGGATAGCACGACCACCAATGCCACTGTATCAAAACTGCGCCAAACCTTCAGCAGATTCGGCTGTCCAGAGACAATTGTAACTGACACTGGCACACAATTCACTTCGGCAACTTTTACGGAGTTCTGCAAGCAATGCGCCGTTCAGCACATTCGCTCACCGCCGTTTCACCCACAGTCGAATGGCCAGGCAGAAAAGTTTGTAGATACGTTCAAGCGAGCTCTCCACAAGTCAAAAGGGGAGAGACGTATAGAGGAGGTGGTTGACCGGTTCCTTTTCCTCTACCGATCAACACCGAATGCACAAGCGGCGGACGGAGTTTCTACAGCACAGGCTACGGTGAACCGAAAGCTTCGCATGCCTTCTGATACCATCCGACCGCGCTCTGAATACTCTGTTGGTGAAATAAACCTCAGAATGGAACGCGATTGTAACCGGCGGCATAGAGCAAAGGAACAATCGTTTAAACTTGGGCTGAAAGTGCTAGTACGTGACTACCGGGAAGGCCACGCGAAGTGAACACCATGAACGGTCAAAAACAAGCGCGGAAATGACCTGTATGACGTGATTATGGGCGCACAGATCTGGGCACGGCATGCAAACTATTTACGGTTAACAATGTGCCAACCAGAACAACCAAGGCCTACCAACTTCCTGTACGACATTGGTGGGAAACTTCAACCTGC